GCCCAGGACCCCAGCGGGGCCGGCGTTGGCTCGGGACAGAGAGCAGGGCAAGGCACGGAGGCAGCTCATCTTGGACCCTCCCCGCCTGCAGCACCGCCGCCGGGGTCCCTTTGCGAAGCTGCATCTGCGCTAAGGCTGTCTCGCGCCCTGGGGAGCCTGGCCCCAGGGGCCTCCCTCCCAGAAATGATGAAGCAGAAGCAGGGAACTTGGGGGACAGGGACGCTGCCATTGTTGGAACAGAGGCAGCCTCCGGACACTCTCCTGGAAGGTGCCCCCGCGGTCCCAGGGCCTGCGCCTGCCATCCTTTGGCCTCCAGAGCCCAGGGGTAGCTCTGGCGGCCCAGCCCCAGCCTGCCTGCTCGGGAACAGGGTCCCCGCTCCTCGCTCTGGCTCCTCCAGCCTCCCCAGCCTGAGACTCCCCGGGGCCTTCACCCTGGCCCTCCGCTTCTCCCTCCCGCAGTCTTTGCCACGCCAGGGCTCACACTTGTGTGGACGGTCACTGCCCACGGCCTCTGCCGCTCGCACAGGCATGAGCCACTCCTTTGACTTCAATTTAGGCTCTGTTTTTGCGGTTGGTGTCAAAGTTAAAAAAAAAAGTTTACTTTTTTTAATTAGAGTAAAAATTGAAGAAGGTTCTACTCCCAAAGTTTTCCACGTTTTGATGGTCACATGCTCCGCTTCCATCACCACCTTTTTCTTCTATGTTTATTTGCCACAAGGCACCAACGTGGAAACAGTGCCAGGCAGACTCAGGTGACCTGGGTCGCAGGCTGAGTGACCTGGATCAAGTCATTCTCCACCTCCAGACTGCATTTACACACCTGTGAGATGAGGGGGTTAGTCGAGATCAGAGATCTCCAGGCATTTTTTTATCGGGCATTTCCGGCAATAAAAATATGTGAACTATGTGGAGCCTGCACCCATAATATACCTATGTTCATTTATAAATTATGTGCCTTTACTACAATACTACTGTGTTAACATACAAGAGCTAAAGGTTATATAAGATATGTTAAGAATAAATTCTCTTTTATTTTATATAACAAAATTTCCTCCACCCACAATTGAATTGTTTGCTTATAATGAATAACACGAGGGTAAGGAACAGCAATATGGTGAGATGTTCTTCATTACTCTTTGAAATCTTGCTTTAACACTTTGACATAGAGCCATTTGGAGGTCTGGTTCTGGCCGAGTTTAGTTTTAATGGCTGTCATAACTAATCCAAAGAGAAGAGGCATATCATTGGCTGTATTAAATTATGGTGCTCATTATCAGTCCCATCCACCAATTAATGGCTCTTTATTGAAATTAAGCTAGTAGATGTCCATCTCCTCTTACATCAGTCAGTGGCTCTTTACAAGCTAAATGGAAAACATTGCATTTTCATATTTTTAACAAACGGACTCAAAATCCACTGACATTCTTCATTTGGATGATTTTCAAACATTTTAAAAATATCTGTTTCTAATATTCTCAGGTATGCAGCTGCGAGCATTTTTTGTAGGTGACACCACATGTGCTCAACAATAAAAATCTCACTTTCAAAATATTCTCTTACTCATTGTTGACTTGAGTCACTTTTACCTTGAAGAGCTGGAAGTATTCGAGTTCGTTTTTTGCTGGATATCTGCAAGGTATGAAACTGCCAACCGCCACTTGTCGTCATAAAAAGTTCGGCAACTTTGGGAGACTTTCCTTTTTGTACAAGAAACATGTAGAACTCCTCTTTTAGTTTGATGGCTATTTTAAGTGCCCTGCCATGGGGTAATCAGGCAGACCTCAGGTGGTTCAAAAGATTTTCATAGTTACTTCCCTCTGATTACAAATCATTGTACAGGTTTTACTACTTTTTAAACTCTTTAAAGAAAAACAACATATCAATGCATCCTGCAGCACTTGGTACTTCTGGATGTAACTTTTGGCTGCAGTAAACTGCAGGGAGCTGGTCCACAGTTTCACACCCTGCATCCTTACCCAGAATCCTTTTCACCATGGAGCAGCCCCTCCATCAGCGATTATACTCAGACAATTTCCCGTACAAATGGTGTTTTTATTAAAGCACTAATGTGCTGCTCAGTCCATATCATCTCTTTCCTTCCATGGCTCACAGAAATGTGGTGCTCCATGTATTTCATTATTGAAACAGAATCTAGGAAAACCATGTGAGAAACATCTGTAACATTTTCTTCAACTGTTAGCAAAACTTCCACAGTGTGATGTTTGTTCTAATGCTTATTTCTCTACATCTTCAGCAATGTTTTCTCCACATCTTCCAACAGCATCTCTGTGGTCACCATGCTGTGTTCTACATACTGTTCTTGCTACCGACAGCTACCACACCAACTGTCCCCGCCCCATCCCTGTAAGACAAGGTGTGTGCGCACGCAGAGCAGTCACGTGGCATGGGTGTAAGGGGAAGTGCAGTGGCTTTCTGCCAATAGACCCCCCTCCCCTTCTGCTACCAGCAAAGCCAATAATGGGGGTGCCCCAGGGAAGGGAAGATGGCTGTCTTGCTCCCCTGCCTGTACGCTTGGCCAGTCAGCTTGCTGCTCTGCCTTGCACCTGCCTGAGAGCAGGACAAGAGAACTGAAGACGGTCCTTCTGATTATGTCTGACTGGATTTTCAGTCATTTCTACCTCCTAGAAAAAAACTTGTGTTTTAAGTAGGAGAGGTACCTGCCCTGACATTTTCTTCTTGTTCACTTGCATTTGCATTTTAAGCACTATCTTCAATTGCGGGTTCCTTGCAGGAATCGTGTTAAGCCACCTATTCATTTGTGAGAGTTAATTTAGTTAAAATTCAACAAAGTAATCTGCAAAGCCACTTGGCTTAGGAACATGTGCCCTGAGACACACCACAGCAGATAAGTCTTGTTCGCTTCCATTTGAGGCAGTCAAACCCAGAGCTTCTGGGAGTAAAAGGACGGAGGGACCAGGCTGAGTGGGAGCTGGTTTACAGGGCCCAGCAGGATTCTTCTGGACACTGGACACTCCTGGAACACATGTGCGGGTATATATGAGACGAACCCTGTCACCTGGGGATCTTACTTACAGTCCAGATTCCTGGGTGTATTCGTTTGCTAAGGCTTCATAACCAAGTACCACAACTATGTGACTTAAACAACAGAAATTTATTACCTCATTGTTCTGGAGCCTGGAAATCCAAGATCGAGGTGTCAGCAGGGTCGGTCCCTTCTGAGAGCCGTGAGGGAGAATCTGTCCCATGCCTCGCCGCTAGTTTCTGGTGCTTTGCTGGCAGTCTTTGGTCTTCCTTGGCACGTAGAAGCTTCACTCGATCTCTGCCTGCATCTTCTCACGCTGTTCTCCCTGTGTACGTGTCCTGTGTCCAAATTTCACTCCAGACCTTCTCAAACTGGATCTCTGAGGGTGGAAGCTTACAATTCATGTTTTTAACAGGAACCTCGGGTAACTCATGCGCTCACTAAAATCTGAGAACTCCATGGCCACCTGAGCTGACACAGAATGTCCTTTCTTCTACCTCAAATACATAGGAATATAAAAAAAAAAAAAATTAAACCATAGATTTCAATAAACAGCTGAGTTCAAGAGAAATGAAAGAAGAATTTTCATGTGTCCAAAATGGAGAACTCAAAATCCGATTTCTGAGGCTGGGGCCACCCTGAGCAGCGTAGGACAGGAGGGTACAGGCCCCTAGAGGCTGGGGCTGGGGTTCGAATGCCCATGGAGGACGTGACAGGGCCATTGCATGCCTCAGGCAGAGAAACTAGTCCCTTTTCACGAAGCCTGAGCCTTGAGGAAATACCTTATCAGTGAAAGGGGAACCAGACATTTGTTTTAACTAATTAAAAATGTGGAAGATTGAAGAACTATTGGCCATTCAGATCTGCTTTGTGAATTCACAGAATCAAGTAGCTTTCTTAGGGGAGGTGCATCTGAGGGAAGGGAATTTTGGTTGGGGGGTGAGGGGGAGGGATGGAGGTCACTTTGGAACAGGGCTGGATTAGGGACACGGAAAGTGGGAGGAGGGGGGCGCCAAGGATGAACTGGCTACTTTTAAAGACATCCAGGCTTGTTTGGTGCAGTTCCCCCTTTGCCTCTCATGAGACGCACTGGTCTCCCTCACCCCCCAGCCTGGCCAACCTGCCCATTCCTGGGCAACGGAGGGGAGTCGCCAGGCACCGGTAAGTTGCCCCTGAGCTGGAAGAGAAGTGGCTGGGTGTTTGCCAGATCCTGTGGAGCCAGTGTCGGAAGGGCCCTCTCCCCCACGATCCTGGCCACGCCCAGGTTAGGGAAAGCAGGGGTTCCTCGGATCACATGACCCTTCTTCATAGGGGCTCTAACTTGATAGATAGTTTGGTTTAAAAGAGAAAATTGTTACCTATAACAGTTAGGTAACAACTAGCAACTACCACTTGTTGAGTGGTATTTACATTATCAGTCACTCTGCAACTTTAAAGCTACCCCGTTTAATCCTCACAGCCGTAGACCAGGTAGATAGAGTATTATCCCACCCTGCTTTGTAGATGAGAGAGCTTAGGCTCTGGGAGATGGTATAATTTGTCCAAACTGAGGTCGCTCACTAGCACAGAGTGAAGCCAGCGCTTAAACCCAGGTCTGTCTGACTCCACACCAATGTGTTGGCAGTGGCTGACACAGGGGAGTGGATGACAAGCCACTTTGACCCCATTCTTTATTCTTTTTCTTGGTATTCTCCAAGTTCTATGCATAAAATGGAGAAAAATTAGTAACCTCATGAAAAAACAACAGAAACACCTTTGGAAGGTTCGTGCAGGAGGCGGCGATGGTGCAGAGAGTGACCTGAGCGCACGCCCTCCTCCCAGGCGCCCCTCCCACGGCCGGGGGCCGGGCTCCCCCACCCAGCGTCAGCGCCAGTTTCAAGCTCGTTGCTATTACTTTCCTCTCAAACTCAGGACACTGTACTTTGGGAAGGTAAGCAGAACCCAGGGAGGCACAAACCCGGCATTGATAGAACTCCGTCCTCTTCCCCACCCGCAGGTCAACCCTTTCAGAGACCGAATCTGCAGGGTGTTCTCTCACAACGATGTGTTCTCCTTTGAGGACGTGCTGGGCATGGCGTCTGTTTTCAGTGAGCAGGCCTGCCCCAGCCTGAAGATCGAGTATGCCTTTCGCATCTATGGTCAGTGCTGTGGGGGACTGAGTGATGAGGGGGGCAGAGTTCATGCCGCATCTGGCGTGCATCCACATCAGCGCATGGATGGGAGGGTGTTAACTATGGTTTACTTGAGTATGTGAGGGTATGATCATGTTTCTCAAGGACTGTAGATTGTTTTAAAAATTGAGAGTTACTATTCCAATGGATTGATGCATTCTCCTCTGTGTCATCAGAGGCAAATGGAGTCTTTGATGTTGCTGTTTCATGGTCATAGTGTGGGTAGCGGACAGATAGAGATGGCGAGAGAGCCGGGGAGAGACTGCATTAGGATATAACGGAGTTACGCTTGTTTTGCCAAAGAGATTTGAACACTGCAATTCAGCCATTAAGTGGCTGAGCAATCTTGGGTAAATCATTTCACTTTTCTAAATGAAAGGATCATCTTGGAGGCCGTATGACATTTTTTGGTCTCTGATTTTGTCTCGGAAAACCATAGGTTCTACAAAACGTGTGCTCTCAGCAGGCCCTGTCCCCTTAGCATGGCCAGGATGCCTGCAATTCTCGAAAGGAATCAGAAGGAACGAAACAAAAAAACCTTGGGAAGCCTTGACAAAGACCATGTACAAGGCTTTAAGCTTCTTGTGGCCACTCTTGCCCGCCAAGGACCTGTTCACTTAGGCTTACACATTTTGGCTTCTCACCTGCCTCCTGTTCCTGCCAGCTCCTCCCCTGTCATTGCGCGGGAGACACCGTCTCAGTCCCGCTTCACCCAAGTGGACTGGATAGGATGGAGTAGAAGGGCTTTGAGCCAGATGGACCTGTGAGGACTCAGTTTTGGAATCTATAAAGAGGACTTAATGCTATTTTTGCATCCTACGTGTCCTCAGGCTCAGTGTCCGGTAAACTCAATTGCAATCATAGATCGCTCTACTGAGAATGGCTGAGTAAGCTCCTACCGCATGTCGTTTCCACAGATAGCAATCATAAACTCTAAATAGATATATAGAAAGTAACTACTTGATGGCACTGGAAAGCTACCAAAAGCAAATAGATTCTAGAGGCAGCTGACACTTGAAAGAAGGAAATGGTACTAGGCAGTCCTCCTCCCCCACACTTTAAAAAAAACCCAACTTTTTTTAGCCTGAAGGTGCATTTCGGTGAGTAGCTTCATGCAGCACTGATAGACACTCTGTATACCTTCTGACTTGATGAATCAGAGAGGTTGGGGCACTTTGCCCTTGAAAAACAAAAAGAAGAGGAGAGTCCATGAAAGAAGCCAGAGAAAGGGTGCCCAAATTTTGTGTATGAATTACGCCTAAATCTTTTTCTTACCTCTAAACCACATGTACAAGGGCAAACTCAAAGCAGCTTAGGTAAGGAAAAAGAAACTGAACTGAGATTTGAGCTGAGCTGCCACTGTGTTTTAACAAGGACCCTATAGGACAGAGTTAGCAGTTTGAGTCCAACCAACTGCCTGTTAAAACCAAAAATTTAGCACTCTTTGGAGGAATATAACAGAACCTAGAATTTCCACAGGAAAGTATTTATAATGTCCAAGATATAATCCAAAATTAGTTGATATATAAAAATTTTAGCCCTGACCAGTATGGCTCAGTTGGATGGGTGTCGTCCTGCAAAGCAAAAGGTCACCAGTTTGATTCATGGTCAGGGCACATGACTGGGTTGTGGGTTCGGTCCCTCGTTGGGGTGTGTACGAGAAGCAACCAATAGATGTTTCTCTCGCACATCGACATTTCCCTCCCTCTCTTTCTCCCTCCCTTCTCCTCTCTCTAAAAATAAATAAATAAAGTCTTTAAAATTTTTAAAAAATTGCTGCATTCTCAAGAATGGAGACTGACTCTGATATGACCCAGGTGTTTGGGATTAGCTGATAAGTATCTTAAAACAACTATTATAACCATGCTCAATGATGTAAAAGAAAGTATGCTCACAGAGAATAAAAATGTAGAAAGTCTCAGCAGAGAAATAAAAACCATAAGAACCAAATGGAAAACATAACTAAAAAAATAAAATATCTGAAATAAAAAAATCACTGGATGTGCTTAACTGGAGAATCAAAATAACAGAGAAAAGAGTCAGCAAACCTGAAGATAGATCAATAGAAATAAAATCTAATCTGAAGAACAGAGAGAAAAAATATGAAGAGAAAAAAGGAACAGAGCCTCAAGGACACAAATGGCAATAGAAAGGTCTAACATATAATCGATTAGAGTCTCAGAAGAAGAGAAGAGAATGAAGAGAGCAGAAAAGATATTTGGGGAAATAATGGCCCCAGGTGTCCTAAATTTGATGAGACACACATTTACAGTGGCCTTCAAGCTGAGTAAGTACAAATGAAGTCACATACCCACATCTGGTTGGCTTAATGGCCCCCACCTCCCATCCACTTCATCCTTCCGTATCCAAAGTATGGGGTTGGCCAAAAAGTTCCATTTGTTTTTTTCTATAAGGTGGCTCTAGTAGTGCTTAATTGTCTTTAACTTAATTTGAGACAATTTTGTTAGATTGTATTGTCACAGCTGTCATATCATCATGAATTATTTTTTTAAAAATTAGCAATATTGGTGAATTTTTGTGTAGACATTTTAATATTGAAGATGGAAGGAAATAAGCAACATTTTCACATATTATGCTCTATTATTTCAAGAAAGGTAAAAATGCAACTGAAACACCCACACAAAAGATTTGTGCAGTGTACGGAGAAGATGCTATGACTGATCGAAAGTGTCAAAGGTGGTTTGCAAAGTTTTGTGCTGGCAATTTCTCGCTGGATGATGCTCCATGGTCAGGCAGACCAGCTGAGGTTGATGGCAATGAAATCGAGACATCAATTGAGAAAAATCAACATTGTACCATATGGGAGAGAGCCGACATACTCAAAGTACTGAAATCCATAAAGTTATTGGTGAAAATGAAAAATGTGTCTTCTATTTTATGGAAAAAAACTATACAGCTTTGCTGGCTAACACAGGTATTTCTGAGGGTCCCCAGGAAGCTCTCAACGGATTCAAGGAGTACAAGTCCACCAGCTACTCCCTGTCAGGCCTTCTGCCACCGAGGACTTGCTACGAGGTCTATAGCCTCTTGTGTCTCCTGTCAGTATTCTTCTAGATGGGGCACCTCTTCTGGGTGGGGATGTAGGCCCAAGGCTGGGTGCTCTTATCTTATCCAAGAATCTTCAGGTTGCATATAACAGGAATGTACTTGTGTGAAAGACAACCGATGAAGAACAGCAGTATAATAGTTTTCCATTGCTGCCTAAAAAATTAGCACAAACGTAGTGGCTGTAGGAGACACACATTATATTCTCACAGTTTCTGTGGGTCAGGAGTCCAGGCATGGCTTGGTCAGGTCCTCCTCGTAGGGTTCCACACGGCTGCCCTCAAGGTCTGGCCTGGCTGCGTTCTCACCTGGAGAATGCTTGACTTGGGGAGGAGTCCACATACAAGCTCACTCCGGTTGTCGGCAGAATTTATTTCCTTGTGCGTACAGAACTTAGAGCCCGGACTTCTTCCTGCTCTGGGCTGGGTGCTGTCAGTTTCTGGAGGCTGATATGTGCTCCTTGCCATCTGGGCCTCCCGACATGGCCACTTGCTTCTTCCAAGACAGCAGGAGGAGAGGTTCTTGAGCCAGTGTGCCAGCAAGATGGAGTCTTATATAATTTGCTATAATCACAGAAGTGACATCCCATCGCTCTTGCTGATCTCTTGGTTAGAGGTCATAGATCCTGCCTACATTAAAGGGGGGTATGCATTGTATGGAAGCGTAAACACCAAGAGAGGCAGATCATAGGAGAAGGGCGCGCTTGAGTGTGTCCACCGCAGGAGTCTGGTGCCCACAGTTGACCTGAAGCAGGCCTCCAGAGGGCCGGGGTGCAGCTGGCAGGTGGGCAGGAAGGGAGAGAGCTGCTTTCTCCTCTTCTCTCTGTGGCTGCCTAGCCTCTCCTCTTTGCTTCTCTCTGAGCACTTTCTGCAGATCTGATCTTTATGCCCCTGTGTCTATGGGCCAAAGATGACTACCCTGGCCCTTCACATGGCCTCCTTCACTCTGACTAGCCATGAGCATCTCTGTTTCTCATTTCCATTTTCCCAGGAGACACTGATTGCCTCAGCCAAACCGGTGACCTGGCTCCCTCCAGGTTGGGTGACCAGGCTTGTCCAATCAACCACAGCCAAGAAGAAGCAGAGTCACAGAAACAAACACGGCTGCAGAGGGCAACCGCTGGTGTTGGGGACACTTCCCCGAGGTGGTGAAGTGTAGGCTGGGCAGATGTCCCGAAAGATATCAGCTTCAGCTGTCTTTCCATGGTTTCCAGAGCGAAGCAAACAAAACCACCCGGACCCGCAGGGAACTAGGCGAGTGGCAGATTCCCTTCAGGCTTCAATGCACAGGAGCTAAAACTGCTCAGCTCAGAAGTGGGGAGAACGCCCTCACTTCCAAGAGGTCAGACAGAGAGCCTCAGGTCAGATCAAGGACCACATACCACCTGTCCCCCACGCTGTCCTTGTATCTCCCTCCGCCCCTCCTCCCCGGGTCCCCTCCTGTGGTTTCCTTCCTCCTTGAGCTCAGGCACAAAATCAAAAAGTGCAAAGCCTTCATGCAAATCAGCTCTGCAAAGAGATGCCTAGGGACTCATAAACTCCAAGCCTTCATCAGATACACCCAGACAATCCCAATTCTCTTTGGGCTCCGAAGATTTCTTACCTTACACAGCTGTCAGCAGGATTAGAGATGGTGCACGTGAAGCTCTGAGCCTGGTGCCTGGCACGTGGTTGTGGCTCCATAAATTCAGGCCATTGTGACAGCAGTGACAAAGAAAGAGAAAAAAAATAGAAGGAAAAAGAGAAGGAGACAGGAAGGGAAATGCAGTGATGGTAATGGCTGCGATGATCGCTCTTAGCCAAAGCCAAAGACCTAACTCAGTGCCCAACCCCTTGCTACTCCCAGCATGGCCCGTGCACCAGCAGCATCAGCATTGCCAGGAAGCTTGTTAGAAATAAAGAATCTCCGCCCCACCTACTGAATCAGGTGGTTCCTCTGTACCTTAAAGTTTAAGAAGCTCCAACCCACTGGTTCGCAGACCTGGCTGCACACTGGGATCACCTGGGGAGATTTTAAGACCTACAGACACTTGGGCCCCTGCTGCAGAGATTTGATGTGATGGTGCCGGATATGCCCTGGTTGGTGGGCTTTCTAAAGCTCCCCGGGCAATTCTAAAGTGGAGCAGAATTTGAGAACTGCTGCTCTAACCTGCTCTATCAGTTAGGATTGCATTCAGTTATGAGTAAGAATGTCCATATTAAAAGACAAAAATCAAAAAACAAAAATAACCAAAGCAATACAAAAAAGCATTCTGGAGTCAGGCAGTCCAGAGCCGGGATAAGGCTGCAGGAAGTAAGCAAGGGCCCAACCCCTTCAAGCCTCCTCATCTGCCACCTTTAGTCTAAGGCTGTTGTCCTCCCAATCACAAGATGGTTGCTGTGCTTACCGGCATCTCATCTTCATTCCAGCAGAAAGACAAAGGGATGGAAGAAAGGATATGGGCACAGTGGACATTCAAAGGCACCGATTAAGTCCACTCTCCCTTAGCAAACCTTCTTGGAAGCCCCACCCAGCAACTTGACATTTCATCAGCTAGACTACATCACGTGGCATAACTACAAGGGAGACTGGGAAACTGAGGATTTTGGGCTGATGTCATTCTGAACAAGAATTGTAACTCTACTGTAAGAAGGAGAGAGGGAATGGCTATTTGGTCAAGAACCCAGCAGGACCAGCCACACCTGCCTGGGACGCACCTGGGCTCTGGTTCCTGCTTCCTGGGATGCTTCCTGGCCTTCAGCTGATCCGTCCCCGCCCCCTCAGCGCCTCTGGGGAGAAGTTCTACCTATCGGACACCAGCCTCCCAGCACTGCCTTCCTGCTCCAATCAGTGCAGCATCCATCAGATGTGAATTACTCTCAGGCAGGTGCCAGAGCGCCAGCGCCAGATCTTCCCACATCTTCCCAAGATCTGTCACAGTCAGGAGGGATGCTAGTGGCCAGGGAGAGGCCTGGGAGGCCACCTCAGTTCTCGGGGGAATAAAATAGCAACAGCATGCCCTGCCTTGCTCCATTGAACAGAGTAATTTTTGCAAAAGTATTTTGTAAATTGCAAAGAGTAATGTGACAGAGAGGCTGGGATGCTGACTGTAAGAATGTTTTGGGGGGACCTGAAGGCTGAACCCTCATCCCACCAGCTCTCTAGTCTCCCCTGTTGTTGGGAAACAGCAAGAGGACGCCCCCCGCCCCGAGTGGCCTGAGGTGGCAGGCCCCGGGCCTGTTGAGGCCCCACGGGCTGGCCAGCGGCCCAGACCTCCCAGCCACCAGCGCTTTCCCAGGCTGCTCCCCCCGCTCCCCAAAGGAGGGGCACTGTCCAGGACTGCACTTTATTCCAGCAAATGATTTTGTTTCCAGATGGCTTGGGACCAAAGCCATGTCACTTTGCTGCAGCCTCTGCATATGGGAGCTGGGCCAGCAGGACGCCTGGGGACACTGCGGGGTCTCTGGGAGAGGCTGCAGAGCTTCTCGCCGGCAGTGCAGTGTCACTGCGGTAGCTTACTGCCTCCAGTCCTGGTGACCGTCCCTCCGCTCCCTCCACCTGCTCTCAGCCATAGCCGTGGCATGTGAGGGCAGAGCGGTCCTGGCCCAGGGACGGCTACCTGCTCCAGGAGCGGGGTGGTTAGTTGCACCTCCACGTCCGTATCCTGCCTTGGGGAACAGACAAAAGTCTTGGCTCTACCACTGAAGGGTCCTGTGACATCAGCAAACTCCTCCACTCTGGGCCCAATATGACACCCACTCTCATTCTTTAAAGCAGAATATTACAGTTTTAAGGTTTGCGTTTTTGTGTTTAAGAACCATCAGGTGATAGAGAATTGAGCCTCTATTGCCTCTATTAAGCATCTTCTATATTCCAAACCCCATGCCAGCTGTCTTCCATGTATTTCTTATTTAATCTTCACAGAAACTGTGTGGAGGTACTGCTATTGCCCACTTCACAGATGAGGCTCAGGCAATGAATGGATATTAAATTTGGTGGCAAATGACAGGAATCCTAAATGGTTTATGCAAGATAGCTCCCAACATCTCTGGCAGTTACATGTCTTTCCTGTAACATGGAGAGTCACAGAGGCCACTGCACGGTGGCTGTGCAATTCTGGGGACCCAGGTCCCTCTTATTTTGTTGCTTCATCCATTTCCAAAGTCACCTCATTGTCACAGGGCTACACCTTCTCTTTAAAGACAGTCCCAGACCTGGACGGTGTGGCTCAATGGACTGGGTCCCGGCCTGCAAACCAAAGGGTCGCTGGTTTGATTCCCAGGGTACTGTGCGAGCCTGGGTTGCGGGCCAGATCCCCAGTAGGGGGCGCAGGAGATGCAACCACACATTGATGTTTCTCTCCCTCTCTTTCTCCCTTCCTTCCCCTCTCTAAAAATAAATAAATACAATCTTAAAAAAAAGACCTGCCCAGAAGTTGATAGTGCCTCTTCTCCTTGCATGTCATTGGCCAGAACTCAGTCACGTGCCCCCATCTAGCTGCAGGGGAGACTGGGGAAATGCAGTGCTGGTTGTAGATGGTCACGTGCCCATCTAAAAATCGGGCACTTTAGTACAGCAAGAGTTATGAGTGGTTAAGAGCAGAAGCTGCTCACAGAGCCAGGCTGCCTGGGTTTGGCCTTGTCTCTGTCACTTACCAATGTGTGACCTTGGATAGTTCACTCATCCACTTACTCGAGCCGTGTTCATTGAGCACCTATTCGGTCCTAGGCACTGTTCCAGGAGCTGGGGATACAGCAGTGACTGAAAGACAGACTTTCTGTCCTTGTGGAATTTACATTCCGGTGGAGGGAAATAAACGAGCTAGTAGGGGAAACATAGCGTGTTAGGTAGTGTTTGGTGCCTGGAGAAAAATAAAGCAGGAAAAAGGACAGGAGGTGCCATTTTAGACAGTTTCTGGGCAGTTCTGGGTAGAAGCTGGCATTGGAAAGAAGACTCGGAATCTCTGGGGAGAGCGCTCCAGGGAGGGGAAAGGCGGAGCAGAGGTCCCGAGGCCGGGCGCCTGGCCCCGCGGGGGAATGGCAGGCCGCGGAGTGAGGGCAGCGCAGCCCCGGGGGGCGACCGGCGGGACCCGGGCTTTCCTCTGGCTGAGACGGGAAAAGGTGCTGAGGGAGGACTGAAGAGCGATTCGCAGCCTCACTGGCTGCCGAGAGGAGAATAGACTGAAGGGGGCAGCCGAGGGTAGGGAAACCGACCGCGATCCCTCCGGAAGGTGACGGCAGGAGGTGCTGGCGGCCAGACCAGGGCCGAGGCAGTGGAGGCAGTGTGGCAGGAGGGCTCAGGAGGCTGGGTTTACTGTCCTTTGAAGGTAGAGCTGGGGAGGTTTGCTGACACATGAGCTGCGGGGTAAAGGGACAGAAAACTCCAAGATTTATTCATCTCCCTTTGGTAAAGTGAGACGAATAAAAGGTTGATGATGAAGATTCAGTGACTTAAATCGGATGAAACTCTCAGGGCAAATTTGGACAGGTACACAACTAAATCAAAGCTGCTGCTGCTGCTTTGTTCTTCCTCTTCTTATTCTCCTCCTCCTCCTTCTTGTTTATCATGTTATTAAGCACCACCCTCATGTGCAGCCTGCCCCGCTGCGGTGGTGCCCCGCTCCTCGGGCCTGCCCCACCTCCCCAAGCGCTGGGTCCTGGGCCCCCCGGGACAGTTGGGTTCTGCGGGGCGTCCCACGGGCTGATGGGAGCCTGTGGGGCCCTTCCTCTCAGGCCCTGCCTCCTCCTCGCAGATTTTAATGAGAACGGCTTCATCGATGAGGAGGACCTGCAGAGGATTGTCCTCCGACTGCTCAACAGCGATGACGTGTCGGAGGACCTGCTGACCGACCTCACGAACCACGTGTGTGCCTGGGGCTACACAGCCGGGCTGGGACAGGCAGTCACCCAGAGCCCCGGATGGCGGGCAAGGAGGCGCCCTGAGGGATGGGCACATGGCTGGAGGCCACTACCCCCCAAGTTTCTGTCCTTCCTCCAGGATCAGTATTTCTTCCATGACTCCCTTCCAGGGTCCCCAGAGCAGTGTGCCGAGCCACCCACTCCAAGGGCCGCTCTCACCAACGCAGCAGGCAGGTGGCCCAACAGCAGCTTGGCCGCAAATGACCACATCGCATCATCCCCTTGCCCACACTATCCCCGCATAACGTAATGGCCACGGGTCCCGGCGTGACAGCCCAGGGTGTGACAGGACATGAAGTCCGCCTCGGGCACCCAACAGGGCACGGATCCCCTGGTCTTAAGACCATGAGGGCCTGTGAGGGCTTTTGGTCTTGATGGGAACAAGAGGCAGATCTGACTGAGCCCCTCTCCGTGCACGACCCCTGCTTGTGACCGGGTGACAGGAATGGGGAGGTGTCATCCTGTTCACCCTGCACCCATTCTCACCGCCAAGTTTGTGCTGGAGGCACACGGGGGCCCTTCCCGTGATGAGACCTGCCCACAGGCCCTGGACCTCCGTGCACAGGACCTCATTTCTCTGCATTCGGTGTCCTTGTCTGGGGTCGGGGGGGTGGGGGGGGAGGAGACCCTCTGCCTCACAGGGGGCCCGGGGACCCTGGGATGTGTGTGAAGCCTCTGCGTGCAGTATTCCCCCCCGCCCCCCAGCTGAGCCCCCCTCTCTCTCTCACACCCGACTCCCCCGGCTCTCTGCTCTGCCCGCACCCTGGCCAGGTCCTGAACGAGTCGGATCTGGACAACGACAACATGCTGTCTTTCTCCGAGTTTGAACACGCGATGGCCAAGGCTCCAGACTTTATGAAGTAAGGTGTTCCAGGTGGAGGTGGGGGGTATGCCCAGCACAGTGGGAGAGAGAGGGGCCCCCAGCCTCCCCTCGGCCAGTGGGGCACCTCTGTCTTCCCAAGGGGGTAACGAGTTTCCAGGGTACTTTGCAGACTCTTTCAGAATCAACAAAACTAGAGCTTCAGAGAAATTAGATAACCTAGAGTCAGGGAGTAGGGGTTTTTTTGGTTTGTTTTTTAAAGATTTTATTTACTTTATTTTTAGACAGGGGATGGGAGGGAAAAAGAGATGGGGAAAAACATCAGTGTGTGGTTGCCTCTCACATGCCTCTTACTAGGGACCTGGCCCACAACCCAGGCACGTGTCCTGACTGGGAATCAAACCAGTGACCCTTTGGTTTGCAGGCCAGCACTCAATCCACGGAGCCACACCAGCCAGAAGGGTTTTAAAAGGCAAGGGGAGGATTGCATCCTAGGCTTTGCAAATGATGTGTGGGGTACAGACTTCAGGCGCTGCTCCTCTACAGCCAGCACCTGTGTGCTGCTCCCAAAGCCCACTGGGCTCCAGGGCCGACCTGCTGGTCCTCTCCCTTCCCCCACAACCTTGGGGGTGTGCAGAGGGGTGTGAAGATGCTGGTGGTGGAATTCAGAGAAGAGCTCCAGCATTTCAAACCTTGTTTCAGGCAGAAAGGGGCCTTAATGGTCTTGTCTGGTCCAAACACCCTCGAGATAACTGACCGTTTCCATATTTGTCTGGAGCCTTCCACATGTGGGTGAGGTGCCGCCCCTGGAGGCAGCCCGTTAGAGCCCCTGCCACGTGGAGCTGGCATCTCTTTGCCTGCGCCTGCCACCCCTGGACCCTATTCTGCCCTCGGTCTCATAGTCAAGAGGATTTCGATGGGAAGAAAGGATGCCCACACAAAATGATTTAACAAACCCATCAGCATAGAACAAAGACAGCGAGGCCCCAGAGAGCCCCGGCCAGGAGCCCGGGATAGCTCGGCGCCCGGTCCCTGCGTCTCTCCTCAGCAACCCCATCCTCAGCTCTGCATGCAAACCAGCAACCCCTGCCTCGTCACACAGGGGCCAAGTGTGGCCTCCCCACAGCAATCAAGTTTACATCTCCTTGACTACAAATGACCCTCAGTGACTCCTAAGTAATGTCCTTCAGCTGTGACTCCAAATTTACACTTGATCTTAACCAAAAGGCTGAGAAGCCATGTATGACCCCAAATTTGTAGGGGGTCGTGGCTTGGGCAGACTCTCTGTACGAGGGTCCACATTTAGGACCACCCCAACCAAGGGTAATTCCTCTTCTTTCATAACAGCCCACCGCATAATTGAGGCCAGAATCCTGTCCTTCTGGAGTTTTTCTCTGAATCTCTTCCATTTCTTTAAGTGGGTTCCAGCCCCACAAGGCTCTGACACCCTGTGCATTCCAGCGAGGCATAAAGTTGCCTCAAGGAGGCTCGGGGTTGGCTTGGGAGAGCTTGATGGGCCAACGCTCAGAGAAAGGGACGTGCGAGGTCAGAGGGCGTGTTAGGCCTGCAGGCTCCGAGCGGCTCGTGGGTTCTTCCAGCTCCTTTCGGATTCACTCCTGGGGATGCTGACGTGGCCACAGACACCTGCTCTGGTGACTTCGAGGGGACCACTGGCACTTGGAATCCAACCCCTTCCCAGCTCCAGGGGGCTGGGATTGGAAGCATGACTTTGTTCCTGTCCTTCCCTCCCTTACAGTATATTGTTTATGTAATAAAGCAAAAGGAAAGCCTTTTCTTTGTCCCATCAGTTCATCATTTTTTTTTTTAATGCAAGGTCACATAGAAGTTGTTTTTTTTTTCTTCCCCAATTAAGAACTCCTTGTCCTAGCGCTTAAGTTTGCCGATGATGCCAAGCAAGCCGGGGTGGCCAGTCTTTGTGAGGGCAGGCTTCAAATCCCAGCCTTCAGCACAGTGGGGCCCAGGCCAAATGGAATGAAATTCACTAGGAAAAGACACGTCTTTCCCTTCCTTCACCGGAGCCCACCACCCTCCAGCCCTGCATCCGTCCTCGAATCCCTCCGTGCAGCCTGTACAGAGAGGCGCTCATAGCGGTCATTCCATCTTAGCCCCCTTGCCACCCCTGGGCCCTTGGGATGTGACAGTGTATGACCAGAAACCAGGGTTTATTTGCTTTGCTATTTGGCCAAGCTCTGGGAGGAATTTGGCTCCCTCAGGAGCTCTTTGGGGCCCAGCTGGTCAGGGACTTGAGGACACAGGAGAAGCCCCTTCTGGGGGTCTCTGAGGGCTGTCAGATGCCTCTCGGATGGGAACATGGTTTTTCTTATTTACACTGTCCTGGGGGGTGGGGTCTAAATGCTGGCCCACAGGCTGTTTCACCTTCCGTACTTGGCAGTGGTCCCCTTGCCTGAAGGTCCCGATTCGCCATTCAGGGGTAAGACGGGCTCCGCTGCTGGATGGAGTCCCTGGATCAAATCCAGGAGACGCTGGAATGTTGGAGGACTCCTTCTGGCCTGCGGTCCCCACCCCACATCCTGTCCATCGAGGGGCTGTCACTCGTATCCTGTCCCCTGTCCCAGGCAGGAGGCCTCCCAGGAGGTGGGAGCAGCAGCTTGGTGAGAGGAGACACTCCAGACCCTGGCCCTCCCAGGCCACCTCAGGCATGTGACCTCGGAACCCACTTTCAGTGGCCACGTCTGGCCTAGAGTTTCCTAAAACAGAGGTTCCTTGAAGAGTGGCTTAGTCCTGGCTCACTCCCTCCTAGAAACAGTCCCAGGGGAGACAGCAAATCAGCGTGTCCACGCCCATCTGTGCAGGAGGCAGGAGGCTGTGCTTCTTCCCTGGGGCACCACAGTGTCCTTTGGGATCCAAAGGGCTGCAACATCCCTGCACCCCAGTCTCCATATGGACCACAACCAGGTCTTGGGGGTCAGAAGAGCCTGGGTTCAAGTCCAGGCGGAGTCATTTCCAAGCCGTGTGAACTCGGGCAGCTTCTTGCAGCCTCAGTGCCTATCAGCAGCATCGCTGCTGTTACCGGGTGTTGTGTGGGCTGAATAATGCCGAGCCAGGGCGCTAGCGGGGATCTCTTTGCATGTGACACCCAGGGTGATTGTCTGCAGTCACTTCACCCTAGCTCGCAGACATGGGATAATGGGGTTTCCTTGGTTACACCAGTGGAACGTGTCTCTGTACCTGAGTGACCTGCCACCAGACTCAGAAGCCCTACAGTCCTCAGCTCTACCTCCTTCATGTCAGGGGGAGAGGTGGGTGAGCAGGTCACTGGACACTACTTTTTCTTGGCTTGAACCTCTTGGGCTGAGCTTTTTATAGCCCTTAAGACGTAGTGCTATGTGACCCTCCAACGCTGTTCTGCTGTGGCCAGACACTCTTGGAGCTCAGAGGAGTGCAGGAGAATCCTGGCTAAAGATTTTATTCCAAAGAGCCAACCTGGTTAAGGCCACAGCTCTCAGGCATCATGCTCTGAACTCAAAGTAACAGTCTCTCTTCTGCCGCTCCTGTGAGGAGACCCTCTTCCCCGATGGGAACGTCTGGTAGGTCTTCAAGTTCTCGGGGGATACTCTTAAAAGATGCCACTTATCCTTCGGGCTCAGAGGAGGCCTGGGGTTGAGGATGGAGTCAGGGTTAGCCAGGGTGCCAGGGAGGGAGGGTGTAAAATGCCCGACCACAACCCCACCTGCTCACTTTCTAACCCACATTGACCCTCACCCTGCTGGCTGCTCATCAGCTTAGCATCTGACAAGGAACCCTGCACTTGACACAACTTATCTTTGTACAATAGGAGAGTGGTTAAGTGCAAGGTCATGGGTGTCAGGCAGACCTGGAATGGATTCTGGCCCAGCTGCTGCTAGGAGTGTACACGTATCACATGAACTGATGTTGGACCTCCCTCTTAGCTTTGTGTTGAGGCATAAATGAGGTAATGCATATAAAGCACTTAATGTAATGCTGCACAAGGGGCAAACACTCAACCAATGTTGTAAGGAATGGTGGTGATGGTGGTGGTGATGGTGGTGGTGGTGATGGCGGTGGTGAGGGTGGTGATGGCGGTGGTGATGGTGGTGATGGTGGTGGTGATGGTGGTGGTGGTGGTGGTGATGGTGGTGGTGATGGTGGTGGTGATGGTGGTGATGGTGGTGATGATGGTGGTGATGGTGGTGGTGATGGTGATGGTGGTGGTGATGGTGGTGGTGATGGTGGTGGTGATGGTGGTGATGATGGTGGTGATGGTGGTGGTGATGGTGGTGGTGATGGTGGTGGTGATGGTGATGATGGTGGTGATGGTGGTGGTGATGGCGGTGGTGGTGATGATGGTGGTGACGGTGGTGGTGATGGCAGTGATAGCGGTGATGATGATGGTGTGGTGGTGATGGTGGTGATGATGGTGGTGATGGTGGTGATGGCGGTGATGGTGGTGGTGATGGCGGCGATGATGGTGGTGGTGGTGGTGATGGCGGTGGTGGTGATGATGGTGAAGGTGGCAACGGCGATGATGGCGATGAAACTCAGGGAAGGGCAGGAACTTGCTCCAGGCCACAGAGGCAGCCAGGGAAAGGGCTGGCTGCAGACGGTGGCCCTCTGACTCCCCAACGCCTGGCCAGCCCTCTGCACTGGACATGAAGCCATCAGCACAGCACAGGATGCCAGGCAGTTTGGATAAGAAACAAAGCTGGGGTGTCCTGGGTTCCCCACAGCTGTGGGAGATACAAACCCTGCCCAGAGTGGTTTCAAGAGGAGGCTTGACCCCAGGAAAGGCCCCACACTGTCTCCAGCTTTGGCTCGACTTGAGCCACCCCAAGGGGCGGGGATGGCTAACCCGCCATCCTGGAGTTGGCATCAGGAGGCCTCAGCTCCTCCGGGTTCTACTTCCAACCGGACTTGACACCAGGCACAAATTTCTCAGGCTACTGCTAAACCTTAGTTTTCCTCTCTATGAAATGGGCTCATCTGTCTTGCAGGGGGAAACCTATAGAGGCAGTTAAATTTGTTTCTTTAACAGAATCATTAAACTCTGAGGAAAGGGTTGCTGCTTTGTCAACAGTGACGATGGCAGGGCTCAGGGCTCTTGAGGCAAGCAAGGGGCCAGCATGGAGCTGGAAACCCAAGATCTGTCCACTGACCCCCTGGTGCCTCTGGCCCTGCCCGACACCCCGATGGCACAGACTTCTGATCTCCCTGCCTGGGCATCAGGAGGGAAAGTGAGGCAACCGTGTGCCTGGGTCACCTTGCAGGGCACAGCTGGCCTTCCCTGGGGGAAAGAAAGCCCTCCCAGATAAAATGCAGGCTTGGAGGAACTTTCATATTTTGTCAGGGACAGTTGGAGTTTGAAAGCTATCTTCAAGGCCCTAGGAGAACATTTTCCAAGACTGGTTGGGGTTGGAGACATCGGTTCCCTGTTCTGTGTAGTGTCCTCCACGTCCACCAGAGGGCAGCAGCCCCTTGCAGCTCAGAGCAGCTGCACCTGCGTTCAGACCAGTGCCCGTGCAAAGGAAGAAACCTAGATTCAGCCTCGCAAAAGTGATGGGGTTTGCATCTGGTCAGGAAAATGCTCTTCCTGGTTCAGCCCATTCAGGTTCCTGGAATCCTGAAGCTTTGGAACCCTGACCCCCTTGCTCTGTAACTGTCACCCTTTAGAGCAAAGGCTCCTTAGGGCAAGGCCTTAACTCATTTCTTGGTCTGCGGTGCCTGCATGGCTGGCTGAGCACAGGGGCCTTGTGCTCATGTGTTTGTTAATGCACAGATGGACGGAAGGCAGGTACTCACAGGTCGGTGGGGATGGGGTACCGATCCCACTCCCTCACAGGCAGCACGAAGTAGGGGACCCGGGGTACCACTTCCGTCTTGTCTTGATAGTAATTTCGATGCTGCTGTGCCATCTACAGTTTGACCCAGGATGAGATGACAGTTTGTTAGTGTGCAGGAGTGACCTTGGGCACCTGCAGCCCCTGCCTGGCTGCACCTGAGCAGGAGTGGTGTCTGTCTCCCCTGGTGCCCCTGGAGGAGTCCCCAGCTGGGTGGCCTCTCTGAGCCTGGCTCCTCACCTGTGTAATGGGGATAAGGACACACACCGCACCAGCTTTGCTGTGGGGAGTAAATGGCACGAGTGACCAGCAGGGGTAAGGTAAATGAGGCCCAGCTCAGCAGGTGGCACAGGTAAGCTCCTTGTGCATTCCTTTCTCCCTTTGCCTCCCTCTTGGGCAGGCCGCGCTCTGTGCCAGAGCTAAGGTGGAACGCGAGGGCCTGCCCAGGCCTGCTGCGCTGGTCCCACGGCTCCTCTGATCTGACAGATCTGGCCCTGTCCCTCAAGCTCCCTGGACACCCATGTCCTCTCTCAGCCAGGAGGGGTGTTTGCAGGGAAGTGGGGAGACAGTGAAGTTTCCAGGGACAAGCGGAGGGTGAGCCCGGGCCCCCACTAAGGGAACCGAGCGCCTGGAGGCTGAGGCGCATCCGAGCCAGAGGGGGAGGGGAGGGATGAGGACACCGGGCTCTGGGCAGGCCCCCTCCACTTGCCTCCAGGGCAGTTAGGGCCCAGTCCTCCCAGGACGACTTGGGGCACATCCTCCAAGGCCTGTGGAGTGGGAGGCGTCAGGTGGGTGCCAGCCGCAGGCCCCAGGTGGGCAGGTACAGTTGAGAGCAGACTTGGGGCTGGAGCGGGTGGGGGCTTAGTGGGCCCTCTGTGCATGTGTGGATTCATTGGGGGGGGGTGAGTTTTCGGCCTTTTCCCCAGGCGGGAGGTCAGCAAGAGGCCAGAGGGCAGAGGTGAGGGCAGGGCGTCCCCCAGGGCTCCAGCTCTCCCGGCGGTGGGGGAGTGTGGGCAGGAGCCACTGGAGGCCCTGGGCGAGGGGTCCGAGGGGCAGAGCCCTGAGCCCTCTCCCCACTGCCTCCCGCCGTGCTCTCTGGGTGCCCTGCTGGCTCAGGGGCTCCTTACTAGCAAACAAACAAAGACGTTCCAGGGGCGAGAGGCCTCCCCCGGCCTGGCCCACCTGGTAGAAGACAGTGAGCTCGGTGGAGCGGTCACTGTCCAGGTTGAAGCGGGTGTAGCTGGGCCTGTGCAGCTGGCGGGCCCGGGAGTGGGAGCGGCTACTCAGCACGAGGTCGGGGTTGGGGGAGAAGACAGTCGGGAAGTGGCCGCCTCTGCTGAGGGGAGTGCGGCTCTTCTCCAGGGCTGCGTCGCGGTGGTCCTGGAAGTGCTTGAGAGTGGAGGTGCCATAGGTGGAGCCGAAAGAGAAGGCCACGCTGGGAACGTGGCCTTTGTACCTGCGACAGCGGTGGAGGAGGGCAGGGAGGAGTCAGGGAAGGGCTCCAGGGCCTTAAAACCTGGGGGTGAGGCCACTGGGCCCCGTGGGTCACCCTGAGCCTTGAGAGGCTTCCCAAGGCTCACTGCCCAGTTCAGGTCCCCAGGGGAAGGACATGGGAAAGAGACAGCGGTCCTCCTTCCCTAGACCTCCAGGCTGGTCACGCCTCCAGACCAGAGGCGTACACGGGCCGGAACTCCAGGGTCCCCGTCCTGACCCCCTCAGCAAGGCTGTCGGCCAGTCACTCTCCCTGGATGGCCCCTTCAGCAGCTGGTCTGGGAACATGGGGGTTTCCTGCAGCGTCCCCTCAGGAGGGCAGGGGAGCAGCCCGGCCCCTGTAGCTCCCTAGGCTTCTCCATTCCAGGGACTCGCCCTGCACTGGAGGCTACAGGACAGCAAGGGCTTTGAAGTCAGCGCTTCAGCATTACCCCTGAGGGCAGCTTCGAATTCCAAACCTGTCACCAGTAAAATAGGGGTTGGCCTACAACTAGGTAGTGATGCATGACTTCCTTCTCTTCGTCTTCAGGTGAAAGGTAAGAAAGCTAAGCACAGTGACAGACCTTCCAAACGCTTTCCACCGCAGGCGGGGTGTAAAGAAGACTCCCTCCCTGGTTGCTGGTCCTCCCTGCCCTCAGCAGCTGGGCCTTCGAGAATCGTGCAGCCCTCGAGCTGGCCTGGGCCGGAGCAGGGGGAAACTGGTCTGCAGAGCAGACAGCGAGGGGAGGGCCTCCCTTCAGCCTCGCCTCTCTTGTCTGCAGGCGGCTCTGCTCTTGATACCCCGGCCCGGGTGGTCCTAACCCTCTCCCATCTGCCTCTGCCCTTGTGCTGGCCTCTCCTGAGTTCCCTGCTGGTGGCCTCGTCTCCCGCCCCCCCGGAAAGATGGCAAGCTGGTGAGTGTCTGCGAGCTGCGGGGTCACCTTGGCCACGACCAGGACAGAGTCCCCTATTTGCCATGGCTTGCCCCATCCTGGGTCAGGAACCCCCAGCTCTGCCTCCCTCCCCAAAGACTCCCCTCCCCAAATCGGTCCCCCCTCTTTCTCACCACCTCTGCCCTTCCTCCTGGCCACCTGCGATCTCTCCTTCCCTCCTGGCTTTTCACCTTCTACCTACAAACGTGCACATTTTCCTCCATTTTTCCTGGACTGCAAAGTTCTGCAGTAAGCCGTGCTTTCTCACGTACCATCCTTTCTCTTCCTTTATTTCTGAATTTCCCTAAGGAATCCTCCATAACTTCTTCATTTCCTCCTCTCCTTCTCTTTCCCTGACTTCAGTCTGACTCCTGACCCACCACTCAGTGTGAACCTGGACTTTTTTATTAAAGCCACAGAAGGTCGTCCAATTGCCAAGTCCAATGTCCTTCGCTCATTGGAACATTTGCACTGGAGGAAACGCATTTGGAAGAAAAATAACCTGAGAAGTAGAAGCAGAGTTTCCGAGAGCTCTCTGTGCTGTGTTTGAGACTTAATAACAATGTGAGTTCTATAAATCCAGAAGTCAAAGCAAGCAGTAGGGAGATGCCTCTTCCTTCATCTGAGTAAGTCCTTCCACGAGGAGGCAGCCCCCCACAGAAGTATCCCTGTCCCCCTCTTGCTCTTCTATGTAGGAGCTGAGGGACATCATCGTACTGGTGAGCGGAAGGGAAAAACACAGGCTTGTTGAAGTCCACCCTCCTTCCCCGTTTTCCCGGAAGCACGGAAGCCCACAGGAGACGCTCAGCTCTTGGAGGAAAGCCCCCCACAGTAAGACCTGTGGACTCAGGCCAGGGCTCAGTGTCAGCCTCGCCCCCGCTGCCTCGCCCCCCGCTTCCCCCCTCCCCCTGTATCAACGGTCGCCCTTTCACCTCACTTCTCAGGTGGCTCAGAATACAGAGAGCGAAAGAGGCGCTGGCCATCAGGGCCCGCCAAACCCGACAGCGTGGTAATAAAGCGACAGAAAGAAAACAGGACCCTAGGACATCAAACCCGCCAAGCGCTCATTCAGGTACAAAGGCACCTGCCAGTCCTTCCCAACAGGAAAGGACTCAGGAAATAAAGTCCCGCTGGCCTCTTCGGGAAAGTGGGGTCCAATGACAAAATCCTGCCAACTAAGAGATGAGGTAGAAGGAAAAGTAACGGCAGTGTAGAAACTGTTAGAACGGCCCGTGGTTGGCTTCGCATCTATTTAAATGATAAAACTAGGAAGAGCGACTACATGAGGGCTGGTTGTAGAACAGAATGTAAGTGTTACAAAACCTGGCAGAGTAAAAAAATTAACAAAACAAAACAGTTTAAACAACAAATGAGTGGGTGGAGGGGAGACGGGAATGCACTTACTAAGAATTTCTAAAGCAGAGCCAACCCATGGAATCTAAACCTGAAACGTGCCGTTAAACACACACACACGTTCACACACACAACATAATGTCTCTAACCCCGCAACGGTTTTTGTAGTTTCTCTCTTTCTCTCTCTTTTTTAGATGGATCTTTCTTGAAATAACATCTCCTGTGATGAATTAGCATTTATCTAAAGTCTAGCTCTTTTTCGATTTTACTTCAGCATCCTTCTCTTCAGTGAATCCTAGTAAGATTAAATTTCATGCTCTCCGCACTCAAGTAGCAAATACAGTACGGTCATATTTTTGTGAAATCGCTTTGTCTGTCTTTCTCTTTATCCGCCCATCCACCTCATCTTTTATCCGACTATACACCTGGATTGAAGTTCACCAAATGCCAACTCTGGTGAGTTCTAAACGTTTGGAGTAAGGGAGTGTGGAGGTTGTTGCTTTCTTCTTTGTACATGTACCTTTTTTTCTTTAAAGAGTCAGATGGCATTCAGAGGTACTTTATGGGGGCCCTACTGTGCGCTAGCACAATGCTAGGTGTATAGGGAATTACAAAGGTCCCCACGGCGCAGACCCCCTTCCACAAGCCCACCCCCTATTCAGTGTCTGTTGAGTCATGGGACATGTGTGCAGGGGCCGTGCTCATGGTCAAGGCTCTGGTCCTGTGAAAGGAGGGGAGACCCATTCCCACGGGGGCGGGGTTGGCAGAGCCCCATGAAGAGGGTTCCACTAGGTGAGGTTTTGAGGGGAACCCCAGTTGTGGAGGGGGGCAGACGGGGGTCTGGCTCTCTTCCCCCGCTCACCTTCTGTTGCCCCAGTGTTCTTTCAGAGCCCCGCTCCTGCTGGGGGAGCTCATTGTGTTAGACGTCCATGTCACGGCCACCCAGATCTGCGTCTCTGGTCTGACCCCCAAGCAGCTAAGATCCGCCCACCCCACTGTCCACACGGGGCTGGCCCTCAGGCTCCACGCTCAGGACGGCCGAGACCAGCCTGCTCCTCCTCCTGGGTATCCTTGTCCTGCTTAAGGCCACCCCATGCCCCAGATCCCCCAGGCCCAGGAACTACCCTGCTGCCCTCCGCAGCCAACCCTCCCCAGTCTGGCTTGTGCTCCCTCGTCAGCGGCCCCCCACCATGGCCCCCTCCATCCCACGGCTAAGAGCCTTCCTTTCCGCTCAACTGGACAATCTTGAATCTCCTAGATAATGTCCTAGAGCAAGTTCCATCCCTTCCAGCCTGTCGTCCACACCAATGCCAGGCCACCGAGGCTGATGGCTCTCTTACCACGTCCCCACAGATGCCGTAGGCCAGGGAATGTTACTGGCATCGCCACAGCCCCACAGGCTCTCGAAGCCTCCAAGCCTTCGCAGGCATTTCCTCTCCTGGGGCCTCGCCCCTCCCGCCCCTCAGGGCACTTCCCACTCACCCCCAGAGCCAGTGCTCCCTGCCACCTTCGCGACTGCCCGCCCTCTACCAGCACCTCCACTTCCCCGTAGGATTATCCTTCATCTACACAGACCCCTGTTCATTTGTTTCCTCTGCTAATCTGTGCTCTCCTTTATCTCCAGCACCTACACAGCACCTGACAAGTGACAGGTGTTCACTACATGTTCCCTGGAGGAGGCAGAAGTCCAGAAATCTGGGGGCACCATGTCCTGGAACACCGTCTCCAAAGGGGATTGTCTCTGTCACAAAGCGTCCCACCCACAGAGACGTTTGTGCTCCTTCGAAGAAAGTAACTACAGAAATGTGTGACGTGTTCTTGTGATTCTTCTCCCTCCACCCACCCCCAGGCTCTCTGCATCCTCCTCCTCTGCTCCAGGCATCTCCACCTGCTCTGAATACCAAGGTATTTGCATTCCAATAGAGAGGGGCCTTCTCCTCCGCAGCTCCGTTCAGAACTTGCTGCTCAGGAAGGGGCGTGTGCGCACACGTGCAAGCCCTCACATTTACTCAATGCTCTGTGAGCCCATCTTGGCCACCTAGGCCTGTGTCCCTCATGTGCACTTGCCTCTGTGCACGTTGAGCATGACTCCATGCAGTTCCACTACAGAGCCTTCCGAAGGCCTGTTTTGTTGGTCATGTGGCAGGTCAAGGTGGAAAGGAATGGCAGGTCTCATGACAGGGCATCAGACAGTCCCTGCGGCGCCACCACATCTCCTCCTTGACCCCTTCACCGCTCCTGTGCCCCTCGCCCACCTGGACACCACGCACGCTAGGAGACAGTGCTCACAGACGGCCCCTAGGCAATGAACACACGTCGTGCATCCTCAAGTCCACTGTGGCTGGTGATTTTGCGGGTTGGGAGCGGTCCCTCTTCACCACTTACTAGCACTGGCTGGCGCACATGAAAATTAATTACCATGAGCCATCGGGGATCCCATGAGCAGCCCTGTTAACTAATTAACTCGTAACTATTTAGCGTGCCCTCCTTCCACATGCGCCCTCTTCTCCACAACACCGCCTGCTGAGTACAGTTCCCACCAGATTCTTCCCCTGGGCAGCACCTCCCGGGGCTCCCCATTGCCTCTAAAATTAAGAACAAACTGAGCCAGGCGCTCAGAGCCCTGCCTGACACGAGCCTCTGAGGGAGATCTTTCCGGTCTGATCATCCACTTTGGTGCTGTAGCTTTTCCACTCCTGCCAAACAGGCCGCTTGCCATTGTGGGTGTGTCCCCTGCCGGGACACTGTGATCTCCTCCATCCTTCGAAGAGCATGTCAAATACCCCCTTTTGCATGGAGCCTCTTCTTATGTCTCAGTTCACGTTCTGCTGTGTTGTAATTGCCTGAGCCCTTACTGCAGTCTTTCCTTCGGAACTGCAAGATCCGTGGGGAGAAGGGGCCGTGTTACACTCGTATCTCCATCCTTGGCGTGCCCAGCACACATCAGAGGGCGCTCTGTGAACATCATTGATTTGAACTGACAAATGGAGGCACATTTTTATAGGCTGGTGATTCCTCTGGAGAGAAGGAGGGCCCCTGTTCCAAAGCCCATGTCTCCAGAGCCCATGACCCCTGCTTTTAGGAAGGCTCTCCAGTTCCCCAGGGTCGGGTGAAAGGCATCGGTTACCTCTCCGGACACACAGGGTCTCCTACATCCTCCTGAGCAGAGAGCCTTTGTCTCACACCCCAGGGTGCACTGGCCTGTCTTGGGGCTGTGCCTCCAGAGCCAGAGCCTGGGCTGAAACAGAAGGGACTTCGGAAACACAGCAGCCAAATCCTCCCTCCTCCTCCCCGCCCTGCTCTCCCCAGAGGTGAGACCTCGGGCCTGAAGACGTTGTCAGGACGGGCAGGGGGTGCTAGGGGCGGCTCCTACCGGCTCACACAAGCTCAAGAGACCTGATTGCTAAATTTGCAGGATATTTGCAAATCTGTTCTTACACAAGCTGGTATTAAAAATTAAATTGTATAAAGTTACTATTAAAGAAATGATATTAAAAACAAAAGTAATAAATAGTCAAAACTTATTACTTCCTAGTTATGTTATACATTTCGCCATCGCCTGTGTCCTGGAGGTAATTTTGTCGATTGCATCTGTACCGTGGGACCTTTGTGCGGCGCCCTGTTGCTGCGTATCTCTTCCCAAGTCTGAGTTTGGTGCATCGTGTTGGCAGCTTGACATCAGCTGTGGCAGGAGTATTTATAGCACAGAAGTAAGTGAGTGCTACAAATCAAGGCGTTTCTCTCCAAAGATCGGGCTGTTAGACCTTTACCAGCACAACACTGGGTTTTCCCATCTGCCGTATGGGGATCCTGGGAGACGGGGCACAGCCACCTTGTGGGGCACCCTCTTGACAATGCAAGTGTAGAACGGCCTGATTTCAGAGCTCTGAGGTCCTGGCCCAGCTCAGTGGCAGATATGGGCACAGCTGTCCCTCCAGGCAAAGGGAGGGAGGGCCAGGGCGGGGGCTGGGGCATCAGGGGGCAGATGTGGTCTGGGAGTGAATGAGTATGCAGCGGCAGGTCACGTGCTTGCACGGAGATCCTGTAGGGGTGAGGTGTGGTGGGAGACAGAGCAAGGGAATGGAGTCACCCAGATCTGACCTGCAAGCAGGAGACACAGGGGTGTCACCAGGCCAGTCTCATCCTTTAAAAGGCCTTTACAGTCTCAGAGGCTCTGACCCAAGAGTTCCCTGCTCACTGCAGGGATGGTACACAGGCCAGACAGAGGCAAGATGCTTGAGGACTGTGCCACTCGGAGCAGCCAGGGACGAGAAGTAGTATCCTGGCCAACTAGTCTGAAAATCGGCACCCTGCTTCCCAGGGCACCTACAATCAGGCCTTGAATGCCACAGGGATCTAACTAAGGGTAATAGCTAACAATCAGAGGAGGGACTGGGGAGAGGGCATGTGGAAGCCACAAAAACCGCACTGGGCCGCTTGCCGAACGATTCGGGGTAAGTTGCCCCTTTCTCTTCTAGGTTGCTGTGAAGGGTTTTTAATAAAAAGTTTATAAAGAACCCAGCACAGGGCCTGCCACATAGTAGGTGCTCATAAATGGGGGCGCATGGTGCTGCTATAGGGCATCAGGACCTGGTTCCAGCCCAGCTCTTCCATTACCAGCACGGGGCTCAGGCAAGCTCCCCTCCCAGGGCCTGGATCCTTCACAGCCTGGGGCTCAGGCAAGTGCCCCCAGGACCTCCGTGATGGCATCAGAAACAGGACGGGGCTGGGTTACGTGATCTCTGAGGACCTCACTGCTGTGGACGTTCTCCGCCTCTATGAATAAAACTGGTAAGGGGGTGATTTGGGTGTCAGAAAAGACTGGCTGCCCTGGAAATCCTGTGATTAATGTTCAAAAAGACACACAAAAATAATAATTAGCCAAGTGTGGTGGGGACCCTTGGATTCTTTCATTATGTTAACAAAATTGCCAGTGAGGTAGCATTTGGGAAGGTAAGATGGCTCAATTCGTCCCGCATGGATGGGAACCTTTAGGGAGAGCGTGGCTCTGCCAGGAAGATCCAGCTGAGAACGCAGCCGGCCCAGGCTCAGCTGCTCAAAGTAGCCCAGTCCATGCTCGGAGCCTCGTTTACAATTCACTTGTTATCACAATTTCTAGATCAGTCACAGGACAGAGCGCTCCAGGGAACTGCAGATGAGTGTTGTAAACAGAAAAGCATCCAGGGATCGCTTCTGAAACAACCGCCGCCACCCCCACAGACCTGAACAGAGTGGGGGAGCCATAGGGGAGGGTGACGTTCCAACTGGAGACTGGGGCGGGGGGCTTATGGAAAAAATATGTCCATGTATAAAAGCAAACCTTATGATCAATACCCAGAATGTGGTATAAACACCACTCACCATCCAAGACGGCAAAGACAGATTTGAAACAATATGTATTTGCCCCAGACTAGGACCCCCTCAAGGGCAGCCTCCCCCCTGCTTTTGTCTTAATAAAACCCTTGGCATATCCCAAACACTCTCCACATCTTTATCAGATGAATGCCTAAATGAATAAAAGAATAGGAAAAAGTGACCTGGTAAATGAGCTTTGTCTGACAGGATGCACGTAGCTTTTTGAGCTCTCCAAGGTCCTGCCTGCAGCGGGTTGCATTAAAATTGCAGTACCAGCCCCTAGTTACTGCACTACCTCCATGTAAAGAAATTATGTTAATACCATAGCCCCTCAAATGTCTTGCTTGTCCCGCTTTAAGACAACCCAAACTTCACACTAAGTATATTGCGAAACCCTGTGTTCATTTTTCAGTCTGTGCAGTTCATAAGGGACAGCATATGGGTTTTTCCTCACCCACATGAAGATCTGCCTGCAGAGCTCTCACGACATTCCTTCCTTTCTTCCTTCTTTCCTTCCTTCCTTCCTTCCTTCCTTCCTTCCTTCCTTCCTTCCTTCCTTCCTTCCTTCCTTCCTTCCTTCCTTCCTTCCTTCCTTCCTTCCTTCCTTCCTCGCCCTCTCATTCATTCTATACAGATGCGCTGATGCTGTGAAGGCTGCATCTCAGAATCCAGCCTCTGCCCTCAATGCCCGTGATGGCTGGTAGGAGAGATAAGACAATTTTATACCTTGGAGAGGAGCTGAGGAGTGAAAATCTCAGACACTTTGGGAGAAAAGGCAGGAAGGAAACAATCAGACTTGCATCTTAGATGTTTAGAGTTTGAAAACATCCAGAGAAAGAAAAGGTAGGTTTGACCGTGCATCTGAAAATGCTGAAGGCCAGGCAGCCCTGGCGGCTGGGGAGGCGAGGATGCCGCGAGGTCAGCGGCAGGGCCCGCCACACGCCCCGGGAGAGTGCGCACCGCGGACTTGCCAGAGTTTCGCACCCCTCCCCCAGGCGCCCGTCCGCTCTCCTCAACTTCTTCAAACGACAAATTCTAATGTTGCGCGAGTCCTGGGTGCCGGAACTGTGCCGCGGGCTGAGAAGGCTGCTCACTTTGGGGGGATTTCTGACCTTCTTGCTCCTGCCTGGGCATCTCCAAACACCAACCGCACACGGCGTCTCCTCCTCCTCCCCCTAACTCGCTGTCATCCACTGGAGGTCCCCTTATCACGGCGTGGGTGCACTCGCCCCTGCTGGGGACCGACTTCCTACCAAGGGGTATCTGGAGAGCCCCGCCTCGGCGCCCAGCCGCCGCTTGCTCTGAGCGCGCATCCCCTCGCCCCCCATCCCGCCCCGCTCCCTCAGAAAACCTCCCAGCCAGGCGCAAAGCTGGCACCTCGGGTTCCTTAAAACCCCATAGGCGCGGGGGCGGAGTTTCGAAGACAGAAGAGGATTTCGGGGGACAGGGAAGGGAGAGGTGCCCCAGCGTCTCCGAGCCTCAGGTTCAGCCTGGGTGCGCGGCGGCCTTACCCGGGCATGAGGGCAGGAGGCACGTAGGCAGCATTGAACTCGGTCAGCAGGGTGCCCGCGCTGCGAGAGGCCATGGTGGGCGCCGCGAGAGCGCAGCAAGGCCTGCGTTCTGGCGTTTTCCAAGGGAGGGTCAACAGCCCGGGTCACCTGGCAACCGCGCGCCTGGCAACGCCAGTGCTGCCGGCGCTGACGCCTAGGTGTTCCCGGGCCTGCGCCCCCCACCCTCAAAATCCACTTCCTGGAGCAGATCCTAGAGGCGCGCGCTGAAAACGCTCGTTCTCCACGTGCACTACTCGGTGACCCCGCGAACCAGAGCTCGCTCCCAAGCTCCTCTCTGACGTCCAGGAATGGGCTCACCTTTGGGCTTCGCTGCGTGGTGAGCTGACGCCTAGATGAGGGACAGGATTGGAAACTCGATGCGGAGGCCTGGCTGGGTTTGTCCTGGTCCTTATCCCCACCCCAGGACTCGAGGTGGCCCTGCTTGGAACGCCCTCTCTTTGGAGGGGGCGCAGAAAGCAGCGGCTCCGTCGAGGGAGCTGCTGCCCCAGCTCTGGGAGCTTGAGTGGCCTCAGGGACGCTCCCCGTCCCTCCAAGAGTCATCTCTCCCCAAGGCTGCCTGCCGAGCCCGGTCACCAGGGGGCTTTCTTTCATGAATCTCTCTCTCCCTGGGACTTCTCATCTCATCTTGCCACTCAAACTACTCCACAAGAGTCTTTTATAGGGGCAAAAAGCAAACGGTGAAAAGATCAGGGTTTGTGATTTACGCTTGTCCCCAGCTCCACAGTTCAGTCTGGCCCAATTCTACAGGGATGGCATGTTTGCCCAGAGAGCAAACCTTTGGAAGGCCCGTGAGGGTTCCTCTGTAATAATGCCTCCTTCCGGTAACTATTTGGTGCCCCTGCATCCAGATTTCTCTAGTGACCCTCACACCAGCTCTGGGTTCTTTGGAGGGCAGGGAGAAGCCTTCGGTCTTTAAGGGAAGTAGGGTGAGGGTAAGGTGACAGCCTCCAAAGCATCGTGCTGTTTGGGACTTGGACTCAGATTGGCCTGCCCAGCAACCCTAGCAGAGTCCCAGTATCAATCAGAACGTCCTGCAGTTTACACTTGTCCTTCACAGTCTCATTTCATCTGCCACTGTGAAGTGTTCTCTTCACAGTGTGCCTCTGTAATTGGCAGCTGATGAAGACCACAGGCACTAATGAGCTCGCAGGCCACTGGAGCTGCCAGAATCCTTAGAAGGCTTCCTCTGGCAGGTAACAATGGAACTGGGGGAGCCACAGGCTTCCATGAGGTGCAAGAAGCAGGAAAACAGGTCTGGGGAGGAAAGGGAACTACAGGGGAATGAGGGATTGCAAATGAGGTGGGAGGAATCTTTACCCAGCCTTCACAGTTCAGTCATAACTGGATATTTCTAAATTCTCTGGGCAGAGCCTGGGCTACAATAAGAAAAGTATTTATTAAAATTGTAAAAGAATAACCCTCAGTTCAGGTGTGGCACACTCCAAGAAGGTGTTTCTAATGACCCCTCCCCGACTCAACCCCATGACAAGGTCAAATGTCTACTCCCCTCCCCTATTCATGGCTCCTGAGCTTACTCTACCCATGGACCCATCATCCCATGTCTACTTGTCTGTGTTCTAGTCCATCTGTCTCTTATGCTTGAGGTACAATGCTGTATCATATTCATCCCTGAATCCCCAGGGCCTGGTACTAGAAGGGGTTCAGTACATGTTTGTTGAATAAATTGTATATTGAGTTACCAAAATGGGTAATGGGAGAATGGAAATTAAAAGTGGGATCTGGCTCAGATTTCAGAAGGGTCAGCTGGCTCAGCTAAAGGATGCTATGTGTTGGCAGGGTGGAACTGGCAGGTGGAACAATTTTATAGATACAGAAACTGAGGTTCATCAAAGCTTATTGCCATGCTTAGGGCAAGTTCATGGGCTTTTTTTCCCCAAAGATACACAAGTGCATTGGAGGCCTCATGAAACTCACCCCCTTCAAGAAAGAACCTCCAGATGGCCTAAGGAAGACATGGATTTTTTCCCTATCAAGTGCCACCAACTCTTATAAACAGAGATCACTTGATGACCTCATGAATAGAACACACTAGTCAAGTTAGTTTTTTTTTAAAAGGGATATTGACTTCCAGTCAAGATGGCGGCATAAGCAGACATGGCTCACCTCTTCGCACAGCCACATGAAAATTACAACTAAAATATGTTACAACCATCCCTCATAAGCATCAGAAATTGAGTTGAATGAACCAGCGGGGACTGAATTGGTGGAAGAAACTGCTGGAGCTCCAAGCCGTTCCTCTTAAAGAACCCACACACGGACTCCCCTACTCAGACTCATTCCCTCTGAGCTCTAGCACTGGGGTAGCAGTTTGAAAGGCACCAGTGGTATATGTGGAGAAACTGAAGTGTCTAGCATCAAGGCAAGCAGAGACCATTGTTTCTTTTCTAAACCCTCCTGGCATAGAACCAGCAAGCGAGTGCCATATCTGAGATTCCATCAACCTGGCTAACACTGTTTGACCTGCCCTGGAGATCCCCAGAGACTTCACCCCACCCAATTTATGGGCTCACCCAAGCTGTTTTTCCATATGAATGGCTGGTTTTTGGCTCATGCCTCACAACTTCCTAAATCCTATCAAATAAGCAACAGCTGGCCTCAGTGAGTCCCAGGCCCGGCACTAGCAGCAGCCATCTCAGATTGTTTTATAGCTCAGGCACAGTGCCCCCAGGCAAAACACAGGTGTGGGCTGACCTTGGCCTGCATCACCTGGGAAATTCCAGGGCCAGTGCACCCAGTGGACAGCTACAGACCACATCAGAACACTACCACCCAGCCCCTGCACAGCTGATCCTCCACAGAAGGTGGAGGTTGGTGGTCAGTGGTCGCAGCCAATCCTTGCTGCTGACTGGCCTGGGTAAATCTCTCCCATTGATCTGCCAAGAGCAACCAAGGTACAACTACAAGAGGAGGGTATACTCAGCCCACATGAAGAGTGCACTTCCGGTACCCAGCTTAGTTGATAGGGGAGGCTGTACCATTGGACCCTACATGACACCTACTACATTAGGCCGTGCTATCAAGACATGGAGTCAAAGCAGCTCTACCTAATACACAGAAACAAACACAGGGAGCATGCCAAAATGAGGAGACAAAGAAACATGACCCAAATGAAAGAACAGATCAAAACTCCAGAAAAAGAGGTAGATGAAATGGAGATAAGCAATATCTCAGATGCAGAGTTCAAAACACTGGTTATAAGGATGTTCAAGGAACTTAGTGAGGACCTCAACAGCATAAAAAAGATCCAGTCAGAAATAAAGGATACACTAATTGAAATAAGGAACAATTTATAGGGAAACAACAGTAGAGCGGATGAAGCTGAGAATCAAATCAATGATATGGAACATAAGGAGCCAAAAAAACAACCAATCAGAATAACAAGAAGAAAAAAGAATCCAAAAAAATGATGATACTATAAGCAGCCTCTGGGACAACTTCAAGAAATCCAACATTTGCATCATAGGGGTGCTAGAAGGAGAGGAGAATAAACAAGAAATTGGAAATCTATTTGAAACAATAATGAAAGAAAACTTCCCTAATTTGGTGAAGGAAATAGACATGCAAGTCCAGGAAGCACAGAGAGTCCCAAATATTATGGATGCAAAGAAGCCCACTCAAAGATATATCATAATTAAAATGCCAAAGGTTAAATATAAAGAGAGAATCTTAAAAGCAGCAAGAGAGAAGAAGTTAGTTACCTATCGGAGAGTTCCCATAAGACTGTCAGCTGATTTCTCAAAAGAAACTTTGCAGGCTAGAAGGGATTGGTAAGAAATATTCAAAGTCATGAAAAGCAGGGATCTATAGCCAAGATTGCTCTACCCAGCAAAGCTATCATTTAGAATCTAAGGGCAGATAAAGAGTTTCCCGGACAAGAAAAAAACTGAAGGAGTTCATCATCACCAAACCATTATTATATGAAATATTAAAGGAACTTATTTAAGAAAAAGAAGATGAAAACTATAAACAATAAAGTGGCAGAAAATACAAATGTATCAACAATTGAATTTAAAAAACAACAAACAAGAAGGACAGAGACAGAATCATGGATACAGGTAGCGTTTTGAAGGTTGCCAGATGGGAGAAGGGTATGGGGGAATGGGTGCAGAGGTGAGGGGCTTAAGAAGTACAAAGAGGTAGTGACAGAATAGCCAAGGAGATGTCCAGTACAGTATAGACAATGGAGCAGCCAAAGAACTTACATGAATAATCCATGGACATGAACAATGGTGGGGAGGTTGCCTGAGGGAGTGCTGGGTGGAGGGGGGTGCCCAGGGGAAGAAATCAGGACAACTGTAATAGCATAGTCAATAAAATACAGTTAAAAAGGAAAAACTTTAAAAAGGGATATTAAATTTATGTGGTTTTTAAAAATTTTAGGCATTCATTTATATTTGATAAATACAATAAGACTAAAATATTCTTTGGTTCAACACATTTAGATAAAAGTGAAAAAGAGAGCAGGAAATAAGGAAGAAATGAGGGAGAAGGAAATAGAACATCAATAGAAAAATAATAATAAGGCAAAGTAACAAGGAAGCATCTAGAAGGAGGGAAGGAGGCTCTTGTGGCATCCTGCAGGATTGGACTGTAGAATTCAAAGGGAGTAATCGCTTGTTAGCATGCTGTGAAAATTTAATATTTCTCTTTTTCAGTCTTAAGCTCTGTTCCACATAAATCGCCAAGTTCACTCTCTTATCCTGCCAACATTCATTGGGCACCCTGCTGTGCCCAGGATACCATGCCAGGCACTGGGGGCACAAAGATGCAGTGCTGGGTCTCCCAGTCTGTGCAGAGAGGTTAGTGGAGCAGCCCATTGAAGGGCAGGATGTGAGGGGCGGAGACAGCGCAGAGCGAGCGCCCTAGCGCAGCCCGGATCCGGCTGTGTGTGCAGAGTAGTCCGGGCAGGGGGCGGGGGGCGCGGGAGGCAGAGTAGGGTACGGGCATTTCGTGCAGAGCAAACACTAAAGAGCAGGGGTGCAGCTGGCCCCAC